TTTGGTGTTTGGGGTCTAAGGTTTTCTTTTCAGAGGCAGAGAAGCCCTGAAAGGGAGCCAACTGGAGAACCAGCCTCTTTTCGCCATGGTTCGGTTCGGTTCGGCCTGCGAGAGCGGTCCCCCAAAGTGCAAGCTGTGCGCAAGGCAACAAACTACATGCCATGCTAAACAACATGCTACATCTCATGCCCAACAACAACTACTACTGCACTACATGCTCTGCCACATAATCCCTCCACCGAAGAGGCGGCCTGCCACCGAACCGCTTGGGTCGGCATCCGTACCAAGTGCTCCACTGTAGAAACTTGTGGTTCCACTTAGCCGGGTTGCCTTTCGCCATGGGGCCACTATGAATTACCCGGGGACCAAGGCCACGCTAACGGCGATGTTGCTTGACAGTGATGTTGGGAACCAACTTGTAGGAAATCACGAACCACACTTTCCTACATTTCCAACATGCAAACGTATCGAACGAAGACGGCACAACGAATTGTAGGAAAGCACGAGCCACGCGTTCTCGCAATACCGAAACCTACATCGCCGTTACCTGCATCGCCGTTAGCGTGCTTACGGGGAGAACCATCCGATTTCCAGGAGAACCACTCCTCTCCCAGAGCGGCCGCAGCCACCACTACACCCGCCGCACGTCCAAGCGTCGACCGCACGCCCCACTAGCTGCCAGCGGCTGCGGCTGCGGCCCGAGGTGCCGCAGCGACTCTACTCGGACAGGCTCACTTCGCGGCTGCTGCTCCGGCGCGGGCCGCAGCTGCGGCGGCGCCGCCGCCGGCCGGCCTCTCGGGCCAGCCTCTGCAGGCCACGTAGCTGGCCGCAAACACGTCCCACAGCGCCCGCCAGAGCCACTTCTCCAGGCTCCCGCCGCGGTCGCCGCCGCGCGCCGCGCCGCCGCCCTCCGGGGGGGAGAAGCGCCCCCCCCCCCCCCTCTCTGCCGCCCCCGCCCCGCTCACGGGTGCTGCCCGGGGGGGCCCCTGCAGGTACCCCCGCGGGGCGGGCTCGCAGAAAGCGCGCCCTCCCGCCCCGACGGGGCCGCTGCCACGCCCCGGCTGCCTGCCTGCCCTTCCCCTTTCGCTGTCCTCGTCCGCCCCGCCCCTCCCCTGCGCAGCATGGCCCAAGACGAGCGCTGCTCGCCTCTGGAAGGGAAAGAAGCAGACAGACACACATCACCGGCGATTCCCAGGAAGTGTGGAGCAGAACGAAAGCATGGGAATGCATGGGAACACATGGGAAGTTCGGGGGGGGAGACGACAACCCAGAAAATATGGGGGATCCTGGGATTTGTGTGTATCTACTTGTGTGACCCTGGGCCCCTTTGATATCCTCTTTCCGTGTCCTGTGCGAGCCGGGGCGCCGCCGCTCCAGCACATATTTCTGTGTGTGTGTATTTCGTATGTTTCGTATGTATGTATGTACGTACGTAGTATCGTATGTACGTATGCATGTGTATGTCTGTCTGTCTCTGTCTGTCTCTGTGTGTCTGTCTGTTTGTCTGTATGTCTGTCTGCCTGCCTGCCTGCCAGTCTGTCTGTCTATACATAGTTATATGCATATATGTATGTATGTATGTTTGCATGTATATATATGTATACATATATATGTATATATACATATATAGTTGTAGGCTCTTTTTGTTTGCATCCATGCCAGCAGCGATATGTCGTAACGACAACACAATGCAACCCATACACTCTGGACCGGTCACATCGAGGATTCAACTCCTGCAGACAGACAAGAGATCAAGGCAGGGCGGGCGGACTTTGGGAGCCTTGGGCACGAACAAGTACGGAGAAGAAACATGCAAGCAAACGTCAAATAGCTTGTGTGCAACGATGTCGGGACACGGCTGCGCAAAGCTAGCACGATTCCGCGGTGATCTACCAAGCTCTGTGCTCTTTCATTTTACATCCAGGCCAGCAGCGACATGTCGTAACGACAACACTCTGTCTTGAACAAAAAAAGAGCACACGATTCAAAACCATACACTCTGGACCGGCCACAGAGAGGATTCAAGTCCCGAAAGCCGAACGTTTTCACAGGAGGCATGGTATCAAACATCTCAATACCCTTTCATCTCAATGGCAGCAAGGGCGCCCTTAAAACTTTGAGCAGAAGCATTACGCAACGTTTTAGGATATGGTTCAGCCAGTAGCGTTCGAAGAACTCCTTGGAACTTTCCGGACCGCTCAGCGAGGGATTTACAACTGTTGCTACATATGCCACGGCCTTTGCAGACGCGAGAGCACCTGTCAAGGTCGGCATGCACACTCGCGATTTGTCTTCTCTTGTGCCGCGGCATGTGAAACATGCGGAAGTCTGTTTTAATTTATCGCACGGGGCGAAAGCGGCGAGCGGACGCCGTTGCTGGACACGGCCATGTTCTGCTGGTCGCTGGGTTCTCCAATGCACAGGGAATGACGAGACGAGCGCTGAGCCTGAGAATGGAGGTCGGGAAAGTCATCAGCTCATTGCCCACTCGCACTTATTCGCTATCCTTTGGGGGCAATCCGTGCAGCCCGAGCGGCAATGCGTCGCTGCGCAGCCCCGGCGGGCCACCCCCTCGATCTCTGGCACGCGAGAAGCTGGGGCGAGGGATCCCCGCCCAGGCGGCGACCACCCAAGAAGCGGACAGCCAACCTCGAACAAGCTTCTGAACGCTCGGCACAGTCAAATCATATAGCTCACCATGGCGAATGTCGAACTCCACGATCGGTAACCCAATTTGGCGTCTCCAGGCCGCTGAGACACCCCCAGGTCCAGCAGACAACTCAACTGCAAACCTCGAAGCGAAGAAATTGGCCTTGAAGAGCGGGGGCGCTTGCTCATGATGGCGCCAATCTCGGGGGCGCATCTGGCCGCGACGAGCTGCGCGCCGCGTGGCAGGTCATGCAGCTGCTCCGTCAGCTTTCCTGCCTTCTGGCAGCGTCGCACAGAGCTCGGCTGAGCCCGGCCCCCGCGGCGCTGCGCGCCCAGCGGGCTCCGTCGGCCCAAGCTCGTGCCCGGGCTCGCCCCGGCGCGCCGCAATCCGCGCAGCCTCGGTGGCCCGAGGCTCTGGAGACCCAGGGCCAGGCCGCCTCGTCTGCGCTGAGTGCGCCACTGCTGGTCCGCGAGCCCGAACGCCGCGCTGTCTGGCCCGCCTGCGTCGCTCCAGCGAGCCTCCAGCAACGGGGCCGTGAAGTCGTGGTCCGCCAGGTCGAGAGGCCCGGAGTCGCCCCGCTCGTTCACGTTCGACGGCTGCCCCAACTCCATCGGGCGAAGGGTCGCGGCCCATCGGGAACGGGGCTGGTCCCCGCAGGTCAGGGCGTGGCCAGCTGGCACCTCGGTAGCCCCAACGCCTCGCTCGGCCTCGGGCAGAACACCCCGCGCATCGGGGCGGCGGCAGCCATGCTCCAGCGGCCCTCGCCCACGAACCAGTCGCAGAGGAGGCGCGCTACCTCCCAGGGCGTCGACAGCCTTGACATGCCGGGCCACTTCAGACTCCGGCCTCGCAGAGCCTGCCGCGCCGACGGCAGGCGGGCCCCATTCTGCCGGCCCCGCTGCGGATCGAAGTGGCAGGCCGCCGACGCCAGACGCGACCCAAGGCTGGAGTGCGCTCCCTCGTAGTACTGGAAGTCGAAGAAGTCGACGATCGCGTCCTCCACCTGACCCTCGGACGCGAGGGGGGAACTGCGGCCCTTCGCCCACTCCGCGAACATCCCCCAGCTCGCCAAGTGCAGCTGCTGAGTCCGTGCGCGCGCGCTCGCCGCCTGCAAGTAGCTCAGGCGCGCCATCTCGGGCCCCCTCTGCGCAGCCGAGCCCTGGCGGGCAACTGCGCGTGCAGCAGCGCGTCGACCCCGCCGCTGGGCCCGCCGCCGAACTGGCGCTATCGGCCCGGGTGCCGAAGGAGAGGCAGTCGTCGCCGTCTCCGCCGCCGCATGCCGCCGCTTGCCAGCGCTCGCCGAGCCCAAACTGCTGCTCGCGATTGCCGGCCCGCACGGCAGCACAACCAACTCCGCTTCTCGAGGCTCCCGGCGCCGCCGGCCCACTCCGCGAGGGGGCATCAACTGGGTTCTCCTCGCTGGGGATGCACCGTGGGCAACTCGAGCAGCCAGAGACCAGTGCCGGCGCGGTCCGGCGGCGAGCCACTCGCAAGATGCCCGGGGCTGAAGCTCTCCCTTTGCTCAGAACCAAGACAACGGACGTCGAATCACTGAGAACGAGTAAACGCTTGTGCCAATTCTGCGTATTCCTGAGCATGTGACGAAGCCCCCGCAAGGCTGCTCGCGTCTCCAAGATTGGGGCGCTCTCAACTCGCGCCCAGCCTTGAGACTTCACCGCTCTCCAGGGCCCATCAGTCAGTGATCGAGCAACGAGGTCTACGCCTCGCTTCCGGCGCGCGCGTCCACCCTCCTCCTCCGTCACCTTCACCTCCTTCACCTCCTTCGCATCCTCCCCCGCGGCCTTCGTCTTCTCGATCCGCTCCCGGGCCTGCCCGCGGCCCCCCCGTCGCCGCCCCCCTCGAACCCCCGCGCCCCCCAAGAGGCTCGCGGCGTGCTCGGCGTCGGCCCCCAGGCCCTCAGTCTTCCGCCACCCCAAGACTCCGCTCAGAAGCGTCGGTCGCCAGCGCGCGGGTGCAAATAAAAGTCAACTGATTCGCCGGCCCAACGGGCCAGGGCGTGCTCAGATCTCCGGCACCTGGCTAACAGTATTTCTAGTTCGCGCGCGCGGGGCGGCCCCCGGGGCCCCCGGGCGAAAAGTACCCCGGCAAGGTCCCGGCAAGGTCGGGCCAGAGATGCCGGAGTTCTGTTTCGGAGTCCAAGAGGGCTCCAGATCGGTCCAAGAGGGCCCAGAGAAGCTTTCTAGACGGTCCAAGAGAGGCCCGAGACGGCCAAAGATCGCCCGAATACGCCCCAGATGGCCCAAAGACAGCCCAAGAGGCCTCCAAGACGCTCCAAGGGCCTTCCAAGAGGCCTCCGAAGAGGGCCCCAAGTTGCCAACATCGTTGATTTTCATTGGTTTTGTCGATGTTTTTTCTGGCCTTTCGCTTCTGGACGCTCCAAGAGGGCCCAAGAGGCCTTCAAGACTGCTCCAAGACGGCCCACGAGGCTCCCAAGACGGCCCCGGAGCGGCCCAAGAGCGCCCCCCAGACGGCCCAAGCGCTGCTCAAGGCGGACCAAGAGGCCCCAAGACGGGCCCAAGAGGGGCTCAAGAAGGGAACCGAGAACTGAAAAATCTAGCCCTCCGCCCCAGAAGGCGCCCAGGACCCCGAAAGAGGCCCCAGAGACTCTCCAAGACACCCCCAAGACGCCCCAATAAGCTCCCGTGAGGCCCCAAGAGGACCAACAACGTCAGGCCCCAGGCCCCAAGAGGACCAACAAATACCGCCAAGAGCCCGCCGAAAGCCCCCCAAGAGACCGTCACGAGAGCTCAGGAGGCCCCCTGGAGGCCTCCCGAGTTCTCCAAGAGGCCTAAAAAGAGGCGCCAAGAGGCCCCAAACGGCCCCACCGAGGCTCCAAGAGGCCACGAACGCGCAAGCAAACGCCTGCGATGGCACAATACGGGCCGGCGGAATGAGCGAAGCGATTAAATGAAAGTCAACTGGCCCGTCGGGCAGATGCGGGCCAGGTCCGAGGCCCACCGGGGCTCTCGCCTTGCAACGTCCGAGAGTCCCACGCTGCCCCCGCGACGCCTAGCCAATAAAACCAAAAGCACCATTAAAGGCGGACAGGAGCTCCCGATGAAGAAGAAACATACGAGTACAATGACCAGCCAAGACCTGCGCCTGCTCGCCGCTCAACGAGTGCATCCGCGAAGCGCGCTGAAGTGCAAGTCGGAGTCGCCGCGCTCTTCCTGCTTCTTCCGATCGCCATTGGACGCTCGCTTGAAAACGCCCAGCCGAGAGCTTCGGCCCCGGGCCCCGCCTCCACGGGGCGCGAACGCAGGCCCATGCGCTCCAGCTCGCCCGCAACCCCTTCGGCCGCCGAACGAGCTCTTCCAGCGCTCTGCGAGAAGGCGGCGCAATTATCCACGTATGCAGCATGGGCCTCTGGGCGTTAACTGGGATAAGATCGGGGATTTGAGCTCTGCTGTCGCTCCCACGTCCAGGAACGCGATCGCAGGCCGCCTCGAGGGCCCTCTGACGCCAGTTCAATGCATGCGTCCAACCCATCGCCAACGCCCTCAACCTCGGATAGAGGATACCAGAGCTCCCATCGACAATTTGGCCAACTCCCATTCGACCAGCTTTCGCGCGTTGGAGGCCGAAGTCGGGCCTCGAAACATCTGGCGTCGCCACCTGGTAGAAAGCGCCCTGGATGTAGGTTCGGCCCAGCTCGAGGGCCAGGTCGGCAGCGGTAAAAATTAATGGAACATAACCCCAAGAGGCCAGTCAGGTCTTGGGCGGGTCTCTAAACTAGCAGGTCGACCGACTTGCATCAAATATTGAACGCTGCGTTTGGTTTTTCTTCCAAACAGAAAAAGAACCGAACTGCCCCTTGATTTCTCGGCAAAACACTAGCATCCCACGTTGAGCGAACGACCGGGAGAGATGCTCATGCTCGCGAGGGCGGCGGGGGCGAGGATTGAGAGAGGGCGTCGATGGGGCGCCGGCCGAGCTCAAACGCGCCGAGCTCCAACGCTCGCCCGCCAAATCCTCTGGCAAGGTGTCTTCTACAACCCTCCGGACATGGTCGCGACCGTTCCCAGCGAGAGCCCCCGCGCCTCGAGGCGCGCCGGGTGGGGGAGGGCCGGGCCGATCAATGTCTCAGGGTGCCGCGGCCACTGGGGTCCCCTGATAGCCGCAGGGGGCCTGGAGCGCTCGGGGGCCCCCCCGACCAGCGAGGTCAGCCGGAAGGCCCCCCCCCGCCGCGAGACGCACTTGCGATCGCGCGACTCGCCGGGATCATGCGCGAGAGGTCTGAATTGCGCGCGAGGTTTCACCGGCGCATGCGTCTGCGTGGCCCCCGAGCCAATTGAGCGCCCGAGCTGCGCCGGACTCCCGGCTTGAGCGGCCCCCTCGCCTCCGCGCGCCGTCGGACTGATCGCGACAGCGAGGCCGGGCTCCCGTCGCGAGACTCTCGACCCGGCAAGGCCAGAGGCATCGCGTCACGGCGAGCGACAAAAAAAACGCGCGGGGCTGCTACTCGCCGCGCATCCGATGCAGAGGGTGGGGCCGCGGTGACGCCGTCCTCTGGCCCTGGCTTGTCACGCGCCACCCTTGCGCCGGAGTCTGGCCCCCCTCGCGCTTTTCCCATCTGCTTTGCCGCGTCGGCGTCGCGGCCGATCTCCTCCAGAACCCGCTCAACCAACTCGGGGCGGATCATCGCTTGCCCCGCCGCGCGGTGCGAGCCGGCGCAGTAGGCCGCCTCCTGCCTGCTGGCCCCTTGGGTCTGATCTTTCTGCTTGCCGCCCTTGCTCTTCTTCTCGCAATGGAACTCGATGACCTGGCAGCGCCGCGAGATCACCCCCGGCCCTCCCAGACTCGGGAGGCCCACCTGGTCGTGCCCCCCAAAGAACTGAAATGCCCGTGCCCCGTGCTCGCGAACCTGCGCGCCGAAGTCCGTCGGGGTCAGCTTGAGGTGCGACGCCCGCCAGCGGTGGTGGCCCATGGGCCCCCCTCCTCGGCGATCCACGAACTGCGCGCGCCAGAGAACTGTGCGCGGCCCGGGCGTGGGCCAGCTCCTGAAGTCCACCTGCTGCATCTTGAGCACGACGTCGCGCAAAAGGCGCTGCCTGCTCCCCTGCCCTCTGAACTGCGCGCTCAGCACGCGGGCGTCGGAACTCGCAGGCGGAGGCGCACGATCAGCGGCGCGCCCTTCGGGCGTCTGGTCGGGGCCCAGGCGTTCCACGAAGATCCATTCTCCTGATCGCGGAGCCGTGGCAGGGGCTCGGCGGCTATCAGGGGTCACCATCAAATCCACTGTCATGCGGACCTCGTCGCCCGCGGCGAGCTCCAAGGCGCCTTCCGCGGCGGCGACCACCCAGCGCCCCCCAGGCGCTGCGGGGCCCTGGGCCGCGCGCTCGCTGCCCCGCGGGGTGGCCGCCCCTCTCCGCGGGCCCTCGCCTCGTCGGGGTCCGGCTGAGAGATCTCTGGTTCGAAAGGCATCTTGCGTCTCCGCCTCGGCCGCGCGTCCCTCTCTCGATTGTCGCCCCCGGCTCCATTATTTCTTCTGCAGCACCCGCCGCGCAAGAAAGACGACGACAACTACGACTACAATTGCGACTACGACTACTAATACTAGTTATGCCTCAGAGGCGCTCTCGGCGAAAATCCTAGCTCAAAAACTCGATATTCGGAAACTGTTTCCTCAGAAGCTCCATCCTCTGAAGGAGGAGGTTTCAGGACCAGTCCTGTTCACCGCCAAGTGATAACATGGGAATCAAAACTAGAAATATCCTGCGGACGCCAAACCACCCCGACCCAACCCGAAGCCACCGTTGGGATCGTCAATCTCTGGTGGGGGGGCCTCCCCTGACTGTTGACATGTTCGGGGAACGCCATGGAACCCGCACGCTCCCCCAATCCGAAGTTTGGGAGGGTCTGGGCCCTTCGGGTTGATGAGCGTTTTTCCCTTCGGCGTTTCGACATTGGGCTGCAAGGAGGGAGGGAGGGGAGGGGGTCTGGCTCCGGACCTCTGCTAAACGCGACTGTTTGAGACAGTGATTCCTAGGGGGGAGATCCCACATGCTCGAAACAGGCGCCAAAAAACAGCCAAGATCTACTCCAGGGAAGGGGGGGGGAGGGGGGGGGGTACGAGGACCCGCGCCGATCGGCAAAACAATGATTAAGAAAACGATCACTTGGGTGGGGGTGGTTTGACAAGTAGTGAGCCGCAACGTTGGCCTCATTTCAGGATCGGCGCTATGCTCCCGTCGTTGAGGATGGCTCTCTCGCCCTAGCGCGGCCCACTGTCCTGGGTCCAATCCTCCCTGGTCGCTGCCGCTCCCCTCTACGGCTGATTGCTAATGTAATCCTCGCTGGCACCGAGCACAGAGGGCAGAAACTCCACCCTGATAACAACCACCCCGAGACGCGAAGCCGTTTAGCAAACGCACCCAAAGAAGGGTTCAAACAGGGCAGGGCTGTTTAGCAAACGCCCAAGGCCGTATCGTAAGCGCCAATTGCCGGGTCCGGGTGGTTTTTCCTCCCTTGAGAGCATGGCAACACAACTGACTGGGCCGGTCAATCACAGCCAGCCGGCGTACAGGCACGTGCACCACGACAGCGGCGGCGTGCAGGAGGCTGCAGACACCGCCGGCTGGGGAGCGGACTGGGGGGCAGCCCACGCTTTCGACGGGAGAGGCCACGAGCCATGGGGGCGGCGGCGAGAGCGCCGGGCCAGCGGCAACTGCCGACTCCCCAGCCGCGAAGACGGCCACCGTTAAAGGGTGCTGGGGATTTCTGCGCTCTGCGTCTGCATCTCCAATGCTTTGTTTTTAGCGCAGGTGGTTTGAAGCGGGGGGGAAGACCGCATGTCTCCAGAGTCTGGCCGCCGAGCGCACACAGTCTCCCACTGCCAGCCAGGCTCGATACGAGAATCCTGAACTTGGGCCGCGATGGGGAATACATCTGCGCCTCCAGTGCGGTGCAGTGCAAATCGACTGGGATCGATCAGAAGTGCCCCAGTGTCCTATGTCCGCCCTCTATGATCAAGCGGAGGACGTAGAGGCCGCCGAAGAGCATGCTGACTGTTAGCGTAGCCGTGACTACGCACGTCCCAACCATCGTGGAAATTACGATGGGTCTCCTCAAAACGCATGACTGCAGGTATCGGAACAAGGGCCGCTACAGAGAGAACGGACAACTGGGAAAGTACGTCGACGAATACCCCTCGGCAATTAGATTTGCGGATTGGAGCTCGGCCTTCTACAGGGACATTGGATATCCCTTTCTGCCCTTTACTTCTTGCAGCGAGTTGATATACCGAGAACCTGGAAGGTTTCGCAAGAAAAACCCTCGCTCTTGATGCAGTGATATCCGCATCTTCTCTTCCTGCGCCCTTCTCCTCCTCCTCCTCCTCCTCGTCATTATCCTCCTCATCCTCCTCCGCACACGCCGCCTTGATCTGCCACTTCTCCAGACAGAACGAGGCGTCCGAGAGCAGCTGTAGAATGACGTACCTGATCAGGACACCGACCACCTCCTGCTCGCCGTCGAACACCTCGGCAACCAGGCTCCGAAGCGTCTCTTGCAACGCAGCCTCAGCACTTGCCAGCAGCCCTGCGGTGGCACTAGTGAGCTCCACCTTGGGGCCCTCGTCGTAGCTGAAGCGGTTGACCCACTCCGACCCAGCGCCAGGGCTCACCTGGCGGCCCAGCTTCTTCGATTCCGTGTCGGGGGCCGGCTCCTCCATGCCTAGCGTATGGAAGATCGGGGGCGGCAAAGAGGGGGGCGTCAAAGAGGGGGGGGCGCAAATCATGGCCGGCGGCATGTGCGCGGCCCAGGTTGGGGGCCAGGGACGTAATGAAATTCGCCGGCCCAACGGGCCAGAGGCGTGCTAAGATCTCCAGTGACTACTTAACAATATTTCTAGTTCGCGCGCGCGGGGCGGCCCCTGGGGGGCCCTGGACGAAAAGTACCCCGGCCGATCCCCGGCCGACCCCCGGGCGATCCCCAGGGGGGAGGCTATTTTTCGTCACCCCTCACGAGGATCGTGACCTCCGAGGGGGGGGCTGCCAACGACTACCCCCCCTCCCCCGCCCCAAGGGGCCCCCAAGAGCCCCCCAAGAGGCCCCAGGGGAGCCCAATACGCCGCCAAGGAGCCCCAAGACAAGACGCTCCCAAGAAGCCCCCAAGAAGCCCCCAAGACGGCCCCAAGAGGCCCCAAATAGCGCTCCAGGGCCGGCGGAATGAGCGAAGCGATTAATAAGAAGAGGCGCCATGAAACCTGGGGAAATATCATGCCCCCCGCCATGATATCCACCCCCCCCCCGTCATCACCCCCCTCTTTTCCGCCCCCGAGAAGAAGGAGAAGAGGAACTTGGTCAGGAAGCCGGGCAGGGACATCAACGCCGGCTCGCCCATGTCGAACAGCCAGAGGCCCGTGGCCTCGAGGAAGAGGTTGTGCAGGCCGCCGTCGCTCACGCCGCACGTCCAGACGCGCTCCCGCGCGGCGGGGCCCTGGAGACGCAGCACCTCCTCCAGGAGCCCAAGCCACGAGTCCCCGTGGGTGTCCAGCGCCGTCGGGCCGTGGACGCCCCCCGCGAAGGTGTCCTCCATCCGGGCCCCCCGGTCCAAGATGCGGCCCAGCAGCTGGGCCGGGACAGCCTCGCCGTCCATCAGGACCAGCGCCTTCCCGCCCAGCTGGCCGGATCGAAAAGCCTGGCCGATGTCGCGAAGCTTCCTGAAGCGGCCCCTCGCGGGATCGAAATTCTTATTGACTGCGAGGCCCAGGTAGGTGTCGCAGGCGGGCGACAGCACCTCGGAGGACGCTCGCCCGCACCAGAACTTGGCCCGCCCGGCCACGGGGGGGCACACGGGAGAGCAGGGGGCAGGCGGGGGCAGGAGGCAGAGGGGAGGGAGGGAGGGAGAAGGAGGAGGAGGAGGAGGAGGGCTTGGCGAGTAGTGTTCTCTGTCCTGGCCCGCGCCCAGGCAAGGAGGGACCCGCGCTGTTCACCAGCGGGATCCTGGAGTAGCCTGGACGGGTTTGGTGCTTGGCGTCGTAGGGAAGAAAAAGAGGGGGAGAGAAAGAGAGAGAGAGAGAGAAAGAGAGAGAAATAGAGAGAGAGAGAAGGAGAGAGATAATGATAACAAGAGGGAATGGCAACGAGAGAGGGAGAGAAAGAGAGAGAGAGAGAGAGACAACGAGAGAGATAGAGATACTAACACACAATGACAGAGGAGGAGAAGGAGGAGGAGGACGACGACGACGACGAACGAATTGAAACCACCAGGCATTGACCTCCTGGGCGCCAGTCCTCACCCTGTCGAACTCCTCCTGGGCCTGGCCCGAGACGCTGCCTCCTTGTTCTGCCGTCCCTCAGCCTCGTCCTCGTTCTCCTCGTGTCCTCCGCGTTCTCAACTCCTAACCTCCTCCTCATCCTGACCCACCCTTCTACCTCCCCATCACAATCCACCTCCGCATCCTCCCACCCCATCAGTGGTACACCTCGTCCTCCCCCCTCGTCCTGGTCAACCTCCTCCCGCCCACCTGCCTCGCCATGACCCACCTCCCAATCCTCGCCATCACGATCCACCTCGTCGCCCGCCTCCTTCTCATCCGTCATCCTCATCCTGATCAGCCTCGTCCCGCCTGGCCACTGCGGGCGAGCGGGAGTTGTCGGCTCTTGCGAATCGGCCCTAATCGACGCTAATCGAAGCTAGCCGGCGCTGAATCGGCGAGATCTCATCGACTCCCAGACGCTAATCGACGTTAGTCGAAGCTCAAGACGGATTGACGAGGGCACATCAGTCTCCCATGATTTGCTACCGAAGGAAACTGTAACAATGCGGGACGCTCAGATCACGACGAGCTGAGCGCCAGTGCTGCGGCCCGGACTCTGGGTGGCAGTCGTGCCAGGGGTCGGCACATGGGGCTGCGAAGTACGAACTTGTCGAGGTGCAGGGGATGGGTTCCGAGCGGTTCTCGAGCGTACCAACGTGCCTCACTTTTCTTTTCAGACCGCGCTTCCACCAGGAAAAAACACAACTGCATAGACACAAATTGTTGGCGCTCCGCGCAAATTTCTTGGATCTGCGCTGGACCCCCTCCCTGGCGCGCGGAGCGCGCGGGGGGCGGCGCCAGAAGCGCCGCTGGGGGGGGCCCAGCGCGGATCCAAGAACTCCGCGCCGAGCGCCAAGAGTTTACGTTTGCGCCGTTTTGTTCTTCGTCGATCCACGGGACCGCCCCTTCTCTCTTTCCTGCCTCCTGGCACGAAGCCCAAAGCACCACAGCCAGTGGCGGACTTCTCGTGCAGCTAGCATTGCACGATCGGGCGCGTCCCGCCCCTCCTCCCGCTGGAACGTGCGCACGCGTATTGGCCCGATGCTGCCGTCTGCGCGGGCAAATTAAACGGAGATCGGGACCCCTCCCCTCCTGTCCCCTGCCCGCCCCTGAGCCCCCATCCGCTCCCCGCCTCCTCCTTCCCTCGCCCCCCCGGGGGTCCCTCCCGTGCACGCCCGCTTCGCCCCTCTCCCCCGCCCCCCCCCCCCCGTTCTCCTCCTGCCCCCTCCCCCCTTCCCTCGCCCTTCCCCCCTCCACTCCATCGCCCCGCCGTGGTGTCCCCAGGCCGCCCCACCGCACGCAGATCCACTCCACGTCCACGCCCCAGCCCCTCCCAGCCACCTCCTCCCTCATCCATCTCCCGCTCCTCTCGGAGACAGGCGAGCTGGGCGCCCAGGGCCCCCCTCCCGCGGTGCCTCCGCGTGGAAGCTCCTCTCCTGCGGGAACGTCAGCTTCCGCAGGTGCTCGATGACCACCAGGTATTCGCCGACCAGCTTCCTCAGCAGCTCGCCGCGAAGCTGGTCTCTCACGAGGAGCTTGCAGCAAGTGACGGGCGACTGCCCACCGATTGCCTTCTGCGCCAGGGTGAACTTCCACTGGTGCTGCCTCTGCAGCTCTACCAGCTGCTTGCAGAACCGCTGCAAGTAGCTGAAGTCACCCCCAGGTCTGCAGCAGCGCACCTCCTCCTGCGCCATCAGGTCGGTCCAGACGTCCTCCTGGGTCTCCAGCACGATCTGGAGCCTGCCATCAACAAAGCTCACGACCTCAGACTCGTCGCCGCCAGAGGCCTGCCTGCAGAGCCTGATAGGTTTGTCCACTTTGCCTGACGGCGTGGGAGTTGCTTCGCTCTCGGGGCTGGACTGCACTGGCGTCTCGACCCCGCGGCTTCCGAGGCGCATCATGACGCTCGATCGCATCACCTGAGAAATGTTCGTGCCGCGCCTCTTGGCGATCTGGCGCTTCAGCTTGAATTTAAACTCGCCCCACAACTGGGCGCCTCGGTTCTTCAAATGCACCCTGCTCACGTAGAGGAACTTGAAGTCCGGCGTGCGGTCCCACATGTACTTGGCAGCCTCGGCCGCGTCGTTGGCCCTGCCACGCTGCCGCAGCTGCTCCTCAATCGTACCCAGGGCGAAGAACTCGGCCGTGTCCCTCTCGCCTCCGTGCTTGAACACGATCTTGCCAAGCGAGGGATCGTAGCCAGCGACGACTGTCACACCGCTGCCTCCGCCGCCCAGCTCCCTGAGGCCGCGCAGAGCGATGGGCACACGGATGTTTGGGTGGAAGGGCACCTGGAGGCCTCCCAAACGGGGTTGGAGCAGATGGGGTCTGAGGAGCGCGCCGCATCGATGCTTCGCCGAGGCATCGGCGACGTCGGCGTGGAGAAACTCGGGCTCCACATCGAATTGCACCCTCGATGCATCGAAGATGCGGCGCGATCCACCGACCTCATCTACTCCGAACCCATCTACCCAAACCCCCGACGTCGTGATTTTTCAGAACGTCGACCCCCAGAGGTCCAAACCCTTGTCCCAGGACAGGTTTCTCATCCTGAATCGTATTTTGACGGTCCCAGGGCCCGGTAGGGGCCCCCGGAGACCGAAACTAGCGAACAAAACATCCCGTCGTGTTTTTTCACAACGCGAGGGGGCCTGGGTAACGAGGCCCAGCCCACCCCCGTGTCTGGAGTGAAGCCCATCCGGCAGATGCCCTCGGGGTCGAGCTTGAGGGTCAGGCCGCAACCCTCGGGCACCTCAGATGGGCACAGTCTCCACCACCGCCAGCGTATGTAGGACGGGGGAGAAGGGAGGATGAGGAGGTCCTCCTCCTCCGCCTCCTCCTCCTCCCTCTCCTGCCTATGGTAGTGGTGGGTGAGAATGGGCCCATCAACCTCGGCCCAGGCCCGCCGCGAGGACGAGGAGCCGCCGCCCGTGCCGTGGTGGCTGCCGCGGCCGCTGGAGGCGCGGGGCAGCCCGAAGGAGCCCACCGAGCTGTCGTCGCCGCCAGACTCCGCCGCGCGCCGCCAGAGATGGCCCAGGCAGGAGGAGCAGCACGGGCCGAGGCCCATCGCAGGGAGCGGAGGGACAGGTCTTGCTTAGAAGAAGAAGAGGGATAATAAGAAACACATGAATTAACATAATAAGCATCATACTAACAATCATAATAACAATAACGCTAATACTACGAACCGTAATAACAACATTAAGTATCCCAGTACGACCCTACCTAGGAGTTCGAGCCCCTAGGAAAACAGCATTAGTAGTAACAGTAAAGCTAAGCTACAACTAAGCTAAAGCTAAGCTAAAGCTAAGCTAAAGCTAAGCTACAGCTAAAGCCAAGCAACAACTAAGCTGAAGCTAAACTAACGCTAAGCTAAAGCTAAGCTAAAGCTGAGCTGAAGCTAAACTGAAGCTACATTAAATCTAAGCTACAACTAAGCTAACGCTAAGCTAAATTTAAGCTGAAGCTAAGCTGAAGCTAAGCTGAATCTACGCTGAAGCTAAGCTAACGCTAAGCTGAAGCTAAGCTAAAGCTAAGCTAACGCTAAGCTAAAACTAAGCTAAAGCTACGCTGAAGCTAAGCTAAAGCAAAGCTAAGCTAACGCTAAGCTAAAGCTAAGCTAAAGCTAAGCTAAAGCTACAGCTAAGCTAAAGCTATGCTAAAGCTAAAGCCAAAGCCAAAGCTAAAGCTCCCAAGGGACTGGGGGAACCGCTCCCAGGGGACTGGGGGAACCGCCCGGGGCGCTGTGCACTGCCCGGCCCCTTTAAGCCAACCGAGTAAGAACCCTTCTAGGCAGAGCCTAGGTAGGGAATGAAAACAATGCGCCGGCCCACTTGCGGGGCCATCAGGCTGCGAGGATTAGGTTTGCTGCTCCCTGCGCCAGTTCCAGTAATCAATGTTACAGTATTGCTTTCTGCTTCCTACTGTAAATTGTTACTGTCCGCGCGAGGGGGGGGAGCCGAAAACCACCTCGGTTAGCGTCCCCGAATCGCATTATCTGAATTTCTGGGGGCCGTGGGATACGCAAACAAAAATACATAAGATTCGCGCTCCAGATACAATAATCCTTCGTAAATGACGCTGATTCGCGCCCCCGAGGCCAATATCCATTGTAAATTACAATGTATTCGCGTCCCCGAAGCCACGATCCCTCGTACAATACTCCATATTCAGGCTCCCGAGGCCACGATCCTTTGTAATTACACCACATTCTCGCCTGTGGAGCCACGATCCCTCGTAAATTACAACGCAGTCGCGGCCCCGAGGCTACGATCCCTAGCAAATTACATAGCGTTCGCGCCCCCGAGGCCACGATCTCCAGTACATTGAACCACATTCGCGCTCCCGAGGTCATGATTCCGCGTAAATGCAATCACATTCGCACCCCCGAGGCCCCGAGTAGCCTCCAGGAGGCCCCAAGAGGCCGTCAAAGGCCCCTAGAAGCTCCAAAAGGCGCCCAAGAGGCCTCCACAAAACTCTAAATATACTCTACGAGACCCCAAGAGGCCCCCCAAAGGCGCCCAAACCGCCTCCGAGAGGCTCCCGAGAGGCCCCCCACGGCACCCCAACACATATACAAGAGGCCTCAGACCCACAACCCAGGCACGGTGGTGGAATGGGCTGAAGGCCACTAGGAGACATTTTAGTAATAATTATTTCTGGGGGTCAACGCATGTTACCGGGGGGGGGGAGGAGGTTACGGTACTGGGGCCGCGGCACGCACCCCGAGGCGCGCCGCCTACGTCGTCGTCGTCGTCGTCGTCGTCGTCGTCGTCGTCGTCGTCGTCGCCAAAACACACAACGCACGCCTACATCGCAGTGACTTTGCGCACTAGAGAAATTGTGTACAACACGGCGCCTGTGTACACCACAGGGCTTGTGGTGTGTACACCACAATGCGTGCGTACACCCTTTATGCCTGCGTACACCACGGCTACTGCTGCAACAACGGATGCGTGCGCCAGAACGCCCGTGCACACAACACTGCCTGGAGACCATTTTTTTTGAATCGGCGATAACCTGGGTCATCCGTGGGGGGGAGGGGGCCGGCCGATAACCTAACCTTCGCGCTGTGGGCAGTCCTGCATATGCCCGCGCGCACCGGTGCTGCAACCCCTACAGCTGCTAACCATGCTGCCGCGATGCTACGATTGGTGCTGCGACGATGCGGGCGCCGTCTGAAAATGCCTAAGGATGTCTGGACGGGATATAGTTGCTAAGCGTAGCCGCGAAGTCTTGTGTACACTATCTATAGAACACGAGTGCAGAACACTGCCTGTGAGCACTACAAGAAAAGCGTGCGCCACAACGGACTTGCACACCACAGGTGCTGCTGCAGCAGAGGCTTCTGCGTGCACCACAACGCCTGTGTACACCCCGATGCCTGTGCACACCACGGGAGCAACGTGCACCACAGCGTATGGCGAACATTTTCGCCACAGCGCTTCTGCGCAACTCCAAGGTTCCGCCGGGGCGCGAAATGTGGAACAAAAATCCCACTGAGCCCGATCGTATCACATTCAAACTGTAACTTGTTTGTGATTTTCCTGGCCCAGGATACGATCCTCCCGATTTTGGCCGACCATGTTTGTGTACACCACCTGTCTAGCGTGGGCCACGACGCCTTCGTGCACCATGCTGCTTTTGTACACCGCAGTGCCTGTCTAGACAACAATGCCTATGTACACCACAATCCCTGTGTACACGACAACACCCGTTTTTTTTTGGGGGGGGGGGGGGCAAGGCCCCAGGAGAACGGCGGTGACCGACGCCCCCTGCGCACGCCACGGGCGCACGGAAGCCCGCCGCCGCCGACGACGCGTGGGCCGTCGCGGCTCGGGGCGGCCGCCGACGACGCGTGGGCCGTCGCGGCGAAGCCCGCCGCCGCCGACGGACGACTCGTGGGCCGTCGCGGCACGGGGGGCCGCCGACGACGCGTGGGCCGTCGCGGCGGGGCGCGCGAGTGGCGCCGAAGACTCAAGCGGCTAGCCCAGGCGCGTGGCGGCGGCGGCGCTGGGGAGGCCTAGTGCCTCGCCAGCGGCTGCGCCGTCGGCGAGGCGAGCCGAGGCGGTGGGGTGCTGACCCCGCCGAATGTGGTCAGCCCGAAAACGTCGGATGCGCCCAGCCTCGCCCACGTGTGGGGCGCACTGAGCCGCTAAAACTTTGATGTTGCCGAGGCGCTCCCTTGCATAGGCGTGGCACCACGCGCACGGCACGTAGCCGAAGGCACACTGCACGATGTGGCCGAGGGCATCACGCGTCCGTCGGCGTCGGTCTCGCCCCCAGCAGGCACCGCTGGTCCCGCCGACGGCTGTACCGTGCCGGGCCGTGGGGATCGGGACCTCGCAGCTGCCTCCGAGGTCCGCCCGCGGGTGGCCGTGCCTCCGACCCGGCCGCTGGCCGCGGCGGCGTCCTGGGCCGCAGCGCCCCACCGCTGGGGCAGGCGGCGGGCCCCGCTAGCTCGACGCTGGGTCCTGGCCGCGGGCCGAGCCAACCTCGCCTGCGGTCGCGGGCTCCTGCCCCGCTGCGCTCGGCGCGGGGTCCTGGCCCCGGCCAGACCCGAGCACTCCTTGTTGGCCGTCGGCGCCGTCGGCGGCTGCCGCGGCTGCCACCGCCGCCGTCGCGGTGGCCGCGCCTGCCGCCGCACTGGACGGCGCCGCCTTCCTGGCCGCTGAGGCGATCTTGGGGACGCACGGGGACCGATGCAGCACCTGCTTCGACTTCTTGGTCAGACGCGCCGTGCAGACAGTCTATGCTGTCGAGCCTGTCGGCAGCCGCTGGGGCACCGGCCGTGGCCGCCACGTGCGCGACGCCGTCGACGAAGAGCTGGGCACGCAGCTGCCTCTGTCTCTCGGCCGAGGGGTGCGCGGGTGGATGGCGATCCCTCCTGCGGCATGGCCGGCCTCGTAGGTGCCACGGCGCTGCTTCCACGCGATGATGCCGCGGGTGACATGGGCGGTGGTGGCGCGGCCCTTGGTCTTGAAGATCGTGAGCCCCGCTGGGCCTACGCCGCCGCAGTCGTGGAGCGTCTGCCGCGCCTGCCGCCAGAGATGTCCCCGCGCTGAGGACGCCAGCGTCGTGCGGGCCTCGCCCCGTAGGTTGATGCCGTCGACGACGTAGCTGGCGTCGCAGTGCAGCTCGATGGGCGGGATGGCATGCCGCAGGACGATGAGCACCGCCAGCAGCTCCGCGCCCTCGATGCTCTGCCAGGGCCCAACCAGCGGCGCGCCCAGCGCCTTGGTGCGGCTGCCAACGCTTGGATCGACTTCCTCAGGGCCTGGAGGTAGCTCGACGACCGCTGCCGCGGCCCGCGCACCACGGCCCTCGGCCAGCAGCGCATCGCACAGTGAGCTGTCGCAGCGCAGTGGCTGGCCGACGAGCGGCTCGCCTGGCCCACCGCGACACCAGCGGAAGTGGTCGGGGAAGCCGCCGCTGGGAGGCCTCCACTAGAGCTGCTGGGCTGGAAATAGGGCGCGCTCGACAAGGCATTTGACAACCGCGTTGTCCTTCTGCGGCAGCAGCAAGGCGATGTCGCTCGGGAGGTTGAGGCCGTGGTCCTGAATGGCGCTGCAGCAGAGGTGCCTGTGCCAAAAGTCGCCGACGTGGTTGGGGCAGAGCTCGCAGGTGTCCGGGGGGGGGCGTTTTCGGGTTGTTGCCGTACTTCATGGCGTTGGTCCACTGGCCGACGACGATGCAGGACCTGAGGTAGCCGCGCTGCTCGTTGCTGGGGCTGGGCTAGCTCCGTGCTTCGTGGGGGGCGCCGCGGCCGCTGGCCGCCCACCGCCGAAGCTGGCCGAAATTGATGCCGACGTCGAGCCAGGAGGCGTCGTGCTTGCTGAGCTGCTTGGCCTGCCAGTGCTCGCAGCTGCGGCCGAGCATCTTCTTGGTGAGCCGCGGGCTGGTGTCGTTGCTGTGGTGGAAGCCGTCGCGCGTGGCCCATGCATCGAGCGAGGCCGCCTCCCAACCCATGCGGCGCATGGACAGGAGAGCGGCCTCCACGGGGCCGCGGCAGTCGGCGCAGCTGCCCGACGCTGCCAGGGCCGCCGCGAAGGCACTGTCCAGGGCCTA